TATAATTATTTATATTTTATAGGCGCCTTAGATAATTCCCAATGAGAATTAATGAATGAGAATTATACAACATTTTTTTTTATCGGATTTTCACAGTTTAGTAATCCTTTTCTTAAGATCTTCTGATGTCGATGCCAACTTTGACTCTTCAATCAAAATTTATACCGCCTTTTTCTTGGGTTCTCTGCTTTCGGAAACAAGTTAAGGTCATAGGATCTCAAATCTACTGAATGTATGTCTGAATATAGCCAACGAGACTCATATGAGATATATGTACCATAATTCGAAGACCAGTCCAGTCATTAGGTAATGCTGACAAATTATATTATTTAAAATATTTAATTGATTCTTGATAGCTTAATTACCTAAGGACCGCACCATAGAATCGGAAACGGAATAGACTTAGTCTGCGGATAACAACAATCAAAGCTGACAGTTTTCGAGCTAACCTCGTAGATGCAGTACATAGATTTAGCCAGCGTAACGATTTATAGATTTATATATTCATAGCCAAAGATATATAGAGTTATAAATAGTTCGAGTCTAAGGTTAGATGTGGAGATATAGCGTTGTCTTGGACGCAAACTACTCAAATTGATATTATCTACCTATACAGTTAATAACAATGTACAGTCTTTATAATATATTTTATCTAGCAACAGGTGTAATAGATTTACTCGATACTATAAGTTGTTCAACTACTCAAATCTGACATATCTCTGTGTATTTTGATCTATGTGAGAATCTATCAAAATCTCAATTTTAGACCTTGACTTTAGCCTCAAGCGGCACACTCAATCATAGCTATTTATGTTTTTTTATTTCAAGTATCTTTTAATGTGTTTTTTTTTCTCACACTATCATAAACCGATTTAGAGATTGTCCTTTTTGCTGGTGGCTGGTTGCTGCTTGTGGCAAGTCAATCATTGGGCCGGTGCAGCTAAAGAGTGAGTCGAGGCATATTTTAAACGTCACTCGGATCAATTTCCCAGAGCACGCCCGGCACCACGGACACACCCAGCAGCCGGGGTGGCAATCGGCATTGAGCATTGGGCATTTAGCTTTTGAGCACTTGCAACCCCGTTTGTGCAGCATCCAGGGGCAGCAGCAGCGGCATCAGCGGCAGCAGCGGCAGCTAAGCGGATATTCATTACACGAACCGCACGCCGGCACGCGCCGCCGCTTTGACAGTGGCTCAACCCCCGCCGTCCTTGGTCCTTGGCCGGGCTTACACTTTACATATGTCACAGATATCCCCGTGGGAGTGTTTGTCGGCGTTTGACTTTTGAGTGAGTGAGCGGGGCAGCGCCTGGGTCTGGTCTGGGTGTTGGACTCTGTGCGCTCAGATGCAAAAGTCATGCCGCTGATCCTGTTTGCTGTAAATAATGCGATTAACGTGCAACACGCAGGCGCTTTGCTGCCACTGCTGCGGAGCATGGGGCGCTAATGAGACAGCGCCGCTGTCTCTGGATTAGAGCAACAAATTTGCGCCTAAGCATGGTGTGAAATATATATATATATATATACATATGTGTGTGTGTGTGAGTGTGTGTGTCTATAAAAATTGTGAGTGTGAAATATCACTTGTGGTTGCGGCATTGTCTCAGCCAAAGGCGACGGCGAGAATAACCATTAAAATGTCTTTAATGTGGCATGCCCCACAAGCACTTCCCACCTAACTCCGCGTGCCCCTAATGCCGTTCACTGAGTCGGAACTAATGCCATGAACTTTGCCAGTTGCCAAAAGTGCACAGAAATAATCGCATTAATGGAGCCTCAGCCACGTGTGAGCTGACTAACTGACTGAGTGACTGACTGACTGATGGACTGATGGACTGACTGACTGATGGACTGACGGACTGACTAGCTTTGTCTTGTGCTTGGGGGTCGCGCCGTGTCATTGTCGTGCCTCGCCGCCGGCTGCTGTTGCACTTTGTCTTGTGGGCTGCGGTGGGCGCAGAAGGGGGCGTGTCTCATAAAATCACATTTTCCAGCCAAAAGCCCAAGTGTGCGAAAATTTGATAAACGCCTTGATTTATGAAACGCTGCCAATAAACAGGCAGCGCACGGCAGGCAAAGAATATACGATACAATATGCACACACACACACATATAATATAAAAGCCACGAAAAATGAGAATAAAATGCAACAAACGATTCAATAAAAATCCAAGCGAAAATTGACTAAATACAAAACATGACAGACGGCGTGCGAGTATTAATAATAATGCGGCCAGGCTCACATTTCGTTCGCTCTGTGATTGTGATTCCGTATGTGCGTGTGTGTGTGTGTGTGTGTGTTTGGCTGCCTTTTGCTTTTTATAAAGTGCAAAAAGCGCTGTACTTTTTTGCACATTCACATTCGATAAAAATCGCATGATCATAAATTTACACTTTGCACAGCCTCCGCGGCAACGCCCACCCCGAAAAAAAAAACAACGCCAGAAAAGGGGTGAGTCGCCGGCAGGGGCGTGCCAGCGCCCCTCCCACCCCCGTCGCCCACACTCACTGCTCTAGTGCTCACGCAATAAGCTGCTCGCTCCTGTGAACTGGACGCTCCTGGACGCGTGAACGATTGCTAAATTGTTGCCCCATTCGAAATATCTTTGTGCCCCTGCACCGTTTTATTTTTGTATTTTTTTATTTTTCCCTGGCTGTTGCACGTTGCAGCATTGCTTGTGGCACAATTGCAATCGCGCGGCCTTTCGATTTTATTTCTTTACAAATCGTTGAAATATTTTTCATAGCAAGCGCTAAAGGAAAAGAAACCAAAGCCGCGTGCGCGTTTTACTTTTTGCACGCCCACAAGCAGCGCTGGTGTAAAGTTATTTAATTGCCAAGCGTTTTGGGCGCGACAGAAAACGCGCAGATCAGAAAACGCTAGCAAAGCGCGCAGGTCCGAAAACGCTAGCAAAACGCGCGCAAGCATAAACTAATGCGAGTAGCATTGACACTTATTGGTGTGTATGTGTGTGTGTGTGTGTACGTGTGTAGGTATTTCTATTTGTATTTGCATAATTAATTCGACTGCACATAATTTGCATATTTCTAATTTAATCGAAATGATTTCACAACAACAACAACAGCAACAAAARCAATAAATTCAAATTGAATATGCAGCAGCAACAACTGCATGGCACAGGCCTTACCCCMCCCCCACTCCCCCTAGCGAACGACCTCCCGCCCCTCCCCCTCCTTGACTGCTATGTGTGCATGTCGCTGTAACATTATAAATAAATCAAAATACAATTTCTCAGAAATTGCGATGCCCTATCAAAATCTTGAGTGTGCGAGTGCGCGCTAGCACCCAAAACCCTAAGCCCAAAGCTCCTGCAAGCCCCCGCAAGCCTCCACAAACCCCCCACAAGCAGCGGCCGCTCGCAACATGAGCACAATTTCCACCCAAAGCATGTCGTAGGCAAATCTGGCCGAAAAGGGGGCGGGCCAAGGCAAGGCATGGCAAGGCAAGTGTATGGCATACGGAGGCGGAAAAGTTGTTGTTCAGGTTGTTCCTGTTGGATGTTGTCGTTATTGGTCAGGCGCAGTGCCGAGGCAACTCTGTAACTGCCACGGGCAACAGCCAGGCTACAGCCAGGCAGTCACATGTTGCACACACGACTTGTCTCCTCTGCATGCCGTGCAATTATTTTGAACTTAAATTCGTATTTTGTGCGAATCTGGCGAATGCATCTTGTGTCTCTTCGTTTCGCTGGTGTCCGTACCCTGTGTCTGGGCCAACATTTCATATGCAAACCTAGATGCCAATATATACAACAGCCGCAACAACGGCAGCAACTACTACAACAACAACAACAACTACAACAACAGCAGCAACAATGTCAGCATGCAACTTTAACTAGCGCTAAATTGTCAGCAATTGTCGTTTAGCTCTCGCAGCTTGAAATCTTTAGCAACATATTGCACGCGGCAACATGTGAGTGCAATAGAGCCAATATACACTGAGCGAAAAAAGTTGTGATTGAAAGCGATATTTGCAGGGAAAAATGATGTGATTTTGTGCACTTTTTGTTAGATCTGCGCGGATAGAAATATGGCAATAAAATACCAAATATATAACTTATGCACTGAGAGAAAAACTTTGACTTAAAGTAAAATTTGCGTAGTAAAAAGTTAAAAAAATAAAAATAGTAGTAAATAAAAATAGTAGTAGCAAAATAGTA